ATATGAAACACATTGGAAATACAGAATTTATTATGGAAAAATTTCTTTCCCATGTCATAAAACGCAGGAGTCTTTCTTCTTTCAAACAGTGCTTCCGAAATCTGAAAACATTAATGCAAATATCTGCACATAAAATGTTTTCAAAGGACTTATTCAGTGTCAGTTATTTATTGGAAATATTTTGGTTTTTGACAGATAATTTATTTTTGTATCATGTATTCTGTCTTCAGAAAAGTCATGATGCATTTTTGCATAAGAAAACAGAAAAATACGTCATGACTTCTCTGATGACCCAGTAGTTTTAGATGAAAACATCCTTTTATGTTTTTTTAGAAATATATATTGGGACCAGCAGATGGCATAATGGTTATCTTGCTGGACTCCCATGTGGTTGACCGCAGTTTGAGTCCTGGACCTTTGTGACTTAAACTCAAACCAGGTGCATGTGCGTGCATGCCCAAGATCCCAAGAGGAGACTGGAGGAAAAGAGACTGTGGCGTGGTCATCCCTCCTGGAGGGTGATTTCTCGCTTTCTGCCTCTCCAGTGAGGGCATGTGCCTTATTGCAAAAATTTGCCTCTTAAAAAAATAAAAAAGAATATATCTTGGGGCCAGCAGATAGAGTAGTGATTACATTGCTGGAATCACCATGACTGATCGCAGTTCAAGTCCCAGACCTAGTGTCTTGAAATTTACACCAGGCATGTGTGCATGCATGCCCAAGATTCCAGAAGGAGGATGAAAAAGGGATATTTCAGGGTGGCCATCTCCCTGGGGGGGGGGTGTTTCTCACTGTCTCTGTGTCTCTTTTTAGTGAGTACACAAGACCTAAAGCAAAACCTCTCTTTAATAGCAAACTTTTTTTTTCTTTAATTTCTGTATAAAAAAAATAATAACTAGGGTACCAGCAGGTGGTGTGGTGGTTAGGCGCTGGACATTCCCACATGGCTGACCATGGTTTGAGTCTCAGACTTGGTGGCTTGCTTTCTCGCTTCCCCTCCCTCCCTCCCTCCCTCCCTCCTTCTCTCTCTCTCTCTCTCTCTCTCTCAAGGTGCTGGACTCTCACATGGCCAACCACGGTTTGAGTCCTGGACCTGGAGGCTCTTTCTCACCTTCCTTCTCTCTCTCTCTCCCTCTTTCTTTCTCTGGTCAAATAAAACAAATAATAATAGTAATAAAGTTAAATAAATATTTAAAAATAAGTGAATGGATTAATAAAATTAAGTAAAAATGAAATATATATATATATAACTATTTTGGTCCTAGCTCAACTATTCTCCCTTTTGTATGTATTTTCCCTCTCATTGGAACATCTTCTCTTTCTACTATCTTTCCTTTTTTTTTCTTTTTTTGGAGTGGTTTTTGCTATAAGGTGCATGATCTTGCCAGGAAGACAGAGGGAGACAAAGAGACAGAAAGCGGGAAATCACCCCACCCCACCCCCAGTGGGGATGGCCATGCTGCAATCCCTTCTCCTCCATTCTCCCCTTGGGATCTTGGGCATGCACGCACATGCGCCCGGCGTGAGTTTAAGCCACCAGGTCCAGGACTCGAACCATGGTCGACTATATGGGAGTCCAGTGACATAGCCATTATGCTAACTGCTGGTGTCTCTCTCTCTCTCTCTCTCTCTCTTTTAAAGTTATAGTTATCACTGTACATCTTTACAGTGTACACCGTGTTTTTTTCCAGGAGGAATAAAGTTAATATTTGTCAAGTCAAAGGCATAATCATATATATTACCATCAACAGATAACTTTTCATTTTTGTATGTATTAAATGTTTTGTCTTTTCCCTGATTCTTTCCCTCCTATCCCCTATTACCCACCCTCTCCTCTACTGTCTCTAGTATCTGTAGTTGCCTTCCCTGCTATTACACCTCCCATCTTTTAGATTCTGCCATAGAATGCAGACATTTGGTATATATGAAGTGGGGACATACAGTGCCTCTTTCATACTCTAGCTTATTTCACTTAGCATTAAATCTTCCACTTTAATATTTGTCTGCTTTTTATCAAATGTCAGGATCTCATTTTTTTTTAAATTGAGTAATCCATAGGGCACATGAGCCACATTTTTTCAATTCATTCATCTATGTGTGTGTGTATGTGTATTTTTAACAAAATCAGTGTGGCCAACAGATGGCATAGAGGTTAATGTTCTGGATTTCACATGGCCAGCTTTGTGGTTCAAGTCCCGGACCTAGTGGGGAAATCATGCAGGGCATGTGTGCATGCATGCCCCAACTCCTGAGAGAATGGGAAAGGGATTGCAGCGTGGGGTAGATTCCCTGAGTAGGTTCTTTCTTTCTCTTTCTCTCTGACAACTGCACATGCTCGCTAGCAAAATCTTAAAAGAAAAAGAAAAGTAACAAAACTGGTAGTTGGTTCTTTGGAAAAATTCATAGTACTGGGAAAACCTGATAAGAGAGAGAGAAAATTCACATTTCCTGTCAGAGATGGAAAAAGGCATCATATAAGAGGTTCTTATGAATAGGTAAAATCTGAAATTCCTGATGAAATGAGAAAGAACTTGAAGAACACAACAGTATCTGACCCATTATGAAATTTTAAAGATGAAATGTCCTGTTAATGAAATTGAATCCTTTACTAAAAATTTCCCACCAAGAAATCTCTAGACACAGATTCCTTCATGGGTAAATTCTTCCAAATATTTATGGGGAAAATAGTACCAATCTTACACAAATTCTTCCAGGTAATAAGCAAGGAGGAAGTGTTTCATACATTCATCACGGCAGCATAGTCCTAATATCAAAATCCAGAAGAGCGATTGCAAGAAAGGAAATTACAGGCCACCCTCTCTTATGACTATGAAAAAATACTATTAACTTATAATATCCTGAGATTATGTGTGTGTGTGTGTGTGTGTGTGTGTGTGTGTGTGTGTGTAAGCGCGAGAGAGAGGCAACACATGCCATTCAGTATCTTGGATGGCATGAATAGAAAAGAAAAGAAAAAAGAATAGAAGGAAAATGAACCAAATAGGAATAACATATAAAGTTAATAAGAATTTGTCAGTATTTGTCCATTAGTTGAGACAAATGCCATAGCAATGTGATATGAGACAGGACAGGGACTGGGTACAGGGTATGTAGGAACTCGGGGATCTTTGAAATTTTTCTAAAAACCTAAAACTTTTTTAAAAACAAAAAGTTCACTTATACATACATGCATACACACCCCCCCCATAAGCCGTTACCTGAAGGATTCAGTCATAAGAATTATAATGTGGTTTACAGTTTGCAATCCACTGTTAAATTCAGCGTATTTTATTTTCCTCTGACTGCATTGGCTAGGACTTAAAACACTACACTGAAAAGGAGTGGAGAAAGTGGGCAGCCTTATCTTGTTCTATTTTTATGATGTTCGCTATGACTTTTTCATACATGACTTCTATTGTGTTAAGAAATGTCCCGTCTGTGCTGATTTTCCTGAGAGTCTTAATCATGAAGGGATATTATATTTCATCAAATGCTTTGCATTTCTGCATCAATTGATATGATCATTTTTTTTCTTTCTTTATGTTAATATGGTATATTATATTTATGGTTTCATGTATGTTGAACCACCCTTGGCTCCCTGGAATAAAGCCTACCTGGTTGTGGTGTCTAGTCTTTTTTTTTTTTTTTTTAAACTCCCCTTCCTTTTCCAGCTTTATTGGAATAGTTTAAAATTACGTTTTTATTTTCTAGGACTTCAGTTGCTTTTTCCATCTGACCTTTAAAAACTGATTACAGCAAATGAAACACAGTTGTCTAAGTTATAAAAATAACATCTTGATTTATGTGAAAATGCATTTCTCTGTAATTCCTGAATAGCCCCAAATTCTACTAACTCTGAGCATCAATTACTCTGTGTTTTAGATTTTGTCTTTGCTGAACCTTTACCACCACCATCTGTATGTCCAGCATCAATGCTGGAGTCAAGCTGTTTCTGTTTAGGCTTTTATCCTGATTTCTCTTGCAGACCATGAACATGCACTTGTCTTATTTTGTTTGTTTACTCCCACTCAACTGTATGTTCCATATAGGGCCTGATACAGATGTTATTTTAAGTTATTTAATAGCTACTGAGGTCAGACAATCCAAGGCCATCATTATGCTAAAATTAAAGTTATTTATAGAAGTTCATAGACATTTCCAGAATTGGTTTAACCTCCTACCTGGAAACATATTCAAGAACCCCATAATGGGTTTACTGGTCTGACTCAACTCTTTCCATTCATCAATCCCTATTCACCAGTGGCAGGATAGGGCGTTCTTTAACCAAGCATTATTTGTAACACTTCTACCAAACTAAACATAAACATTTTTTGTAGTTAAATGGAGAAAGTCAGTTTTTTCCACCCCTTTCCTCCTTTCACATGGCAAATAAAGCTCACTGGCCTGGGAGTAGCCCTTATTTGCCAACATTTGGCCAATGAAGGGGATTCAGAGACAATAACACAACCATCAGCCAGAAAAAGGAGGGGCAACAAAGGAACATAATTGTGCATTCCCATACAAGATGCCCTGACTTGCCACGGCAGTTAAGAGTTGACTTCACTCATCTTCTTGCAGTTGATCACTACATGACCAGTCCCATCACACCTGTAGCACTTCACTGTGCTGCAGTCTTTTTTAATATGTCCAAATTCTCCACTGTGTGGTCGCAGTTGCCTGATTTGCCACAGTTGTAGCAGCACTGGTCTCACTCTCTCTTGGGCACCTTGCAGTCCTTGGCAATGTGTCCTCTTTTACTGCAGTTACAGCAGGCACCCTCCTGAAGATCACAATACTTGTCAAAATGATCAGACTCACCACAGCAGTAACAGGTGTCTGGAAGAGATGAGGAAACAAACTGGACACTTCTGCCCCAGCTTCTCATTCCACGGCCATGACCTCCACCAGTAGGGTACTCCTGGGCCCAGTGACCAGAGCATCCACACTTGAATCACTCATTGCTGCTCATGGTTGCAGTCAGATCTTTGTTTTCAGTGGGCCTATAGCGGCAGTGGAGACTTGAGCAGGCTGGGCCTGGTGTATAATCTTTTCAATGTGTTCTTGGGTACAATTGCTAGTATCTTGTTGAGAATTTTTGCTTCTATATCAAAGGCATTGGTCTGTAGTTTTCCTTTTTTTATGTCTTTTGTCTCTTTGGAAGGTAAGGGTGGTAGACGCTTCATAAACTGAATTTGGGTGGGTTCCTTTCTTTTTGTTCATTAGTAATAGTTTGAGTAGAATGGGGGTTAGTTCTTTAAAAGTTTTGTAGAATTCAGAAGTGAAGCAATCAGGACCTAGGCTTTTCTTTTCTGGGAGACTGTTTAATACTGATTCAGTCTCATTGCTTGTTACTGATATATTCAGGCTTTCTATATCTTGATTCAGTCTTAGTAGATTGTATGTATCCAGAAATCTGTCCATCTCATCCAGGTTTTCTTATTTGTTGGCATATAATCATTTATCTTGTTCTCTCATGATCTTTTGTATTTATGTTATGTCTTTTGTAATATTGCCTGTTTCATTGCTAATTTATCTGGTTTCTTTCTCACTTATTTTTATTTTATTTATTTATTTTTTTTTTTGAGAGGTTTTCTCTATAGGGCGCATGCGCTCGCCAGCCAGACAGAGAGAGACAGAGAGACAGAAAATGAGAAATCACCCCCCCAGGGGGGATGGTCACGCCACAATCCCATCTCCTCCATTCTTCTCTCAGGATCTTGGGCATGCACGCACACGTACCCGGCGTGAGTTCTAAGCCACCAGGTCCGTATTTATTTATTTATTTTTTGAGAGGTTTTTGCTATAGGGCGTGTGCACTCGCCAGACAGAGACAGACAGAGAGACAGAAAGCGAAAAATCACCCCCCCAGGGGAGATGGCCACACCACAATCCCTTCTCCTCCATTCTCCTCTCAGGATCTTGGGCACACATGCACAGGCGCCTGGCATGCGTTTAAGCCACCAGGTCCGGGACGCAAACTGCAGTCAATTACATGGGAGTCCAGCAACATAGCCATTACGCTAACTGCTGGTCCCCCCACTTCTTAATTAGTCTAACAGTATGTCATTTTTGTTTACCTTCTCAAAGAACCCAAGCTTGTGGTTTCATTTATTTTCTGAATAGTTTGTTTATCCTTTATTTGTTTCTGTTTAAATCTAGAGAAAAAAAATTAAATTGGTTGTATTTGTCAATGACATGATTATTAGAAAACTCAAAAGAATTCACACCAAAAAAAAAACCTCCTGGAAGTGACAGATTAATATAGTAAAGTGACAGGATACAAAATCAACATGTAAAAATCTATATTTCTTTTTTTTTTTTTAGGAGAGGTTTTCGCTATAGGGCACATGTGCTCGCCAGACAGACAGAGAGAGACATAGAGACAGAAAGCAAGAAATCACCCCCCAGGGGGGATGGTCACGCTGCAATCCCTTCTCCTCCATTCTCCTCTCGGGATCTTGGGCACGCACGCACATGAGCCCAGCATGAGTTTTAAGCCACTGGGTCTGGGACACGAACCGCGGTCAACTACGTGGGAGTCCAGCGACATAGCCATTACGCTAACTGCTGGTTCCCAATATTTCTTTACCCAAACAATGAACAGACATAGGTAGAAGTGAAGAAAACATTCCCATTTTCAATAGCCAAAAAAGTGTAAGATATCAAGGAATAAACCTAACCAAAGCATCAAAGACCTCTAAAAGGGAAACTATGAAAAACTAAACAAATTTAAAAAGTTGAAAATGACAAAAAATTTAAAGACATTTCATGTTTCCGGATTGGAAGAATGAATATAACAAAAATGTCAGTTCTACCCAAATTAATCTACAAATCTAGTGCAATTTTGATAAAATTGCCAGATATTCTTCACAGGTTTAGAAAAAACATAGTATTATAAAAGACTTTATATTGCCAAAGCAATACTGGGCAAGAAGAGTGGTGTAGGAGACATCTCAGACATCCCTGACCCCCTAATATATTACAAAGCTGTGATAATCAAAACAGCATGGTACTGGTACAAAAGCAGGCATGTAGATCAATGGAACAGAAACTCTAGAAATAAACCTCAAAACATAGCCAACTGATTTTTAACAAAGGGCACTAGACAATCCAGTGCGGAAAAGAAAATCTCGTTAGCAAATGATGTTGGAAAAACTGGGTATCCATCCACAGAAAGATGAAACTGGACCCTGTCTCACCACTACCAAAACTCAAAGTGGATAAAAGATTTAAACCTAAGACCTCAAAGTATAACACTAGTGGTGGAAAACAGGAGAAACTCTTGGAAACATCAAAGTAGGCAAAGACTTCTTTCTTCAATATTTTTTTATTATTTGTAATTATTATTTACACACTTAATCACAATACATAGTTTAGATTGTAAAGAGACTTTAACCAGCGTGACGCACTCCTCAGTCCAGCCCAGTTGAGAACACAGGCACTTCCTCATCAACAAATAATAAACTATATCTGCATCCCACAAATGCCTTACCTCTCCATTTTTCCCCTCAAATTTCCTATCCTACGTTCTTACCCTCCCCCATTCTTTCCACTTTGGCTCTAGAGTTCCTAACAATTTTTAATGCTTGTATTTCCTCCAGTCTTTCAGTCTCTGTCATAGAGTGCTGACAGTCAGTATATGTTAAGGGGAGACATACAATGTCTCTTTTTCATAGCCTGACTTGCTTCACTCAGCAACAGATCTTCCATATTTGTCCACTTTCTATCAAATTCCAGGGCCTTGTTGTTTTTTTATGGCTGAATAGTATTCCGTGGAATATATGTGCAACACTTTTCCAATCCATTAATTCGTTTGTGAACATTTGGGTTGGTTCCGTGTCTTAGCAGTCGTGAATAAGGCTGCAATGCATATGGATGTGCAAGTGCTTTTCCCATTGAGCATTCTTCTGTCTTTTGGGTAGATACCCTGGAGTGGAATTGCTGGATCATATGGTAGTTCTATTTGAAGCTCTTTGAGGACCCTCCATATTGTTCTCCACAGTGGCTGGACCAATTTACATTTGTAATCTTTTAACTGGGTTAATTTTTTTTTCCAGGTAAGCCGCTTGAGTTCCCTGTGTATTTTGGTTATCAGTCCCTTATCTGAGGCACATTTAACAAAAATTCCCTTCCATTCCGAGGGTTGTCAATTCACGCTAATGATGGTGTCCTTTGCTGTACAGAAACTTCTTAATCTGATGTAATCCCACTTGTCTATTTTGGGGATTATTGCCTGTGCTTTGGAGTCTTACTTAAGAAGTCTTGGCCTACCCCAACGTCTCCCAGAGTTTCCCCAGTGTTTTCCACCAGTAGTTTTATCATTTGCAGTCTTAGATTTAGATTTTTGATCCACTTTGAGTTGATTTTTGTTAATGGTGACAGAGGTTCAGATTCATCTTTGTGCAGGTGGATACCCAGTTTTTCCAGCACCATTTTCTAGAGAGGTTTCCCTTTTCCCACTGGATTGACTGGTACCCCTTGTCAAAAATCAGTTGACTGTATGTTTGGGAATTTATTTCTGGGGACTCTATTCTGTTCCATTTGTTCACGTGTCTGTTTCTGTGCCAGTACCATGCTGTTTTGATTATCACAGCTTTGTAGTATATTTTTGGGTCAGGGAGTGAGATTCCACCCACTCTACTCTTCTTGCGTAGAATTGATTTGGCAATACGGGGGTCTTTTATTATTCCAGACGAATTTTATGATTGCTTTTAATATATAGATTAATTTGGGTAGGATTAAGTAGGCAAAAACTTCTTAAATAAGACCCCCAAAGTGCAGGCAGTAATCCCCAAAATAGACAAGTGGGATTACATCAGATTAAAAGCTTCTGCACAGCAAAATAAATAATAATTATAGTAGATCAACAACACTTTGAATTGGAGAATATATTTGCAAGCTATGCCTCAGATAAGGAAATGAACTCAAGCAGCTAACTTTATTCCCCCCCCCCAAAAAAAAATCAATCCAATTAAAGGATGGGCAAATGAGCTTAACAGCTTTCTAAGGAAGATGTACAGCCAAAAAGCATAAGAAAAATGCTCAACATCCATTATCATAAGGGAGATGTCAATCAAAACCACAGTGACATACCATGCAATCCCAGTCAGAATGACTAAGATTAAAAACATAAAGAATGATAAGTGCTGGCAAGGCTGTGGTGAAAAGAGAACTCTTCTGCACTGTTGGTGGAAAAGTAAATTAGTACTTGTGGGGGGCAATATTGAGGTTTCTCAAAGACCTACAAAGAGAACTGCCATAGGATATCTATCTAAAAGATGGGCATACACTCCTCTGGAAAACCTCTTGCACATCTATGTTTATTGTGACGTTATTCACTATTCATTATTGCTAAGACATGGAACCAACCCAAATGTCCACAAGCAGATGAATGGATTGAAAAAGTGTGTCATGTATACGCTATGGAATACTACTCAGCCATAAAAAAGACAAGGAGATCCTGAAAGTGGATGAATATGAAGGATTTATTGCTAAACAAAGCAAGCCAGATTAATGAAAGAGAGGCATTGTATGCTCCCACTCAATGTTTACCAAATGTACACACTCTATGGCAGAAAGTGAAAGATAGAAAGGTATAAAAGCATGGAGAGTGTGGATACTAGAGACAGTGTGGGTGGAAAGTGGGAAATAGGGGAGAGTGAGAAGGAGGGAATCAAGAGGGAAAATAAAACATTTAAGGAACACAAAATGGGAAATTATCTGTTGATAATAATGTATATGATAATATCTTTAAATGGACTAACATATAGTATATTTATGAAGGGAAAATTCATTTTGTATGCTGTAATGATATACAGTGATTGAGTGTAAAAAAAAAATAAAAACTTTAAGCATATTAGCAAAGAATTAGAGAAATAGCACCTAAACATGATTGTAGATACCAAAACTTTCGACATTAAACAATAAATCCTTTCAGAGGGAAATAGCACAAAAGAAATTTCATCTCAGGAATGATAATATGATGATGTTTCAGAGATTTTCCCCTTAAGGTAGGAAAATGAACTAAGGTGCCTCTTATCACCATCTCTGTTCCCAGTGGAGCTGGAGTTCTTAGTTCAGTTAGACAAGAGGAAGAATTAAAATACTTAGGAATGGGGCCAGCAGGCGATGTGGTGGCTAAGGCATTGGACT